TGCACAGTCAGTCCCATGCAAGCTCCCTGGTTAAACATTATTTCTCTGAACCTGTGTCTCTGCCTCTGTTCCTACTCCCTAGCTCCGAACTCCAAACCCGCTGTTCCTCATGTGAGATAAAGCATCTGATACTGGCCAACAGGCCACTCAGTGGTTTCTTCCTCAGACTTGCTTCATTTAGTTTTTCTTTTGTGATTTCCTTTGAATGGTTTCTTGTACTTTCAAACTCACAGATCTTCAAGATGTGGTCAAAATGTGGAAAAAAAAAAAAAAAAAAAAAAACTGTTAAATTTGTCAATTGAATATAAATTGAATGTGTGTATGTGGTCCTTTTAAAAGTCACTTTTCTCATTGATGACATTTCCCTTTAAACACTTAAGCATACTTACAAAGCCTATTCCAAAGGCCTTGGAGATCATCTCTATTACTTCTATTTCTCTGCCTATTTCTCCTGACAGGTTTCACTTGTGATTATGGTAACATTCTCCTGTTTCGTACCATGACTAGTAATTTTTAGTTGGATTCTGGGTAATAAGACATTATGTTGTTAATAACTTGGCTTCATTTTGTTCTTGAAGACATTTTCAATGTCCTTGTGACAGGTAGGAATGCCCTGTTGATGGTGTAATTCTTTGGTTTGAAACTAGCTGTGAGGCAGAATGAGCTCTTCTACTGTATGACTCTTTCAACAATTATCCTGCAAATCCAAACTTGCCTCATCTGAATTAGTTACCCATTACCTTTTAAAAGACTGTATTTTAAAATTACCTTTAAACTATGCAGTCATATGATATGTAGTTAATTATAATTCTGCCTATAACCTATTATTTTTATTACTCATTCCTATTGCTATACTGATGGGGGATGTCCTTCTGTATATATGTTTCTCTTATTGGTTGATAAATAAAACACTGTTTGGCCAATAGAGGCAGGAAGATAGGTGGGACTAGGAGATGAGAATTCTGGGAAAGGTAGACAGCGAGAGACCACGAAAAAACACCATGTGGAGACCGGGAAGACAGGACACACCAGGTGTTCTCTGGTAAGAAAAGGCCACGTAGAAATACATAGATTAGTAGTCATGGGTTAATAATTAAGAGCGAGCTAGCCAAAAAGAAGCCCTAACCATCAGCCAACAGTTTATAATTAATATAGCCTCTGTGTGTGCATTTAAGGCTGAAGTGGGACCTGGCGGGACAACAGAAACCTCCAGCAACATTATACTTGTTAATACCTCCAGAAAAATGCTAAGAACAGTAATACAAACTGGAAAATGACAACATCTTCAATAAAAGGTGCTGGTCAAACTAGATGGCTACATGTAGAAGAATGCAAATAGATCCATATTTATCATCCTGCACAAAACTCAACTTCAAGTAGTTCAAAGACCTCAAGAAAAGGTCAGATACATTGAATATGATAGAAAAGAAAGTGGGGAATAATCTTGAACTCATTGGCATAGGAAAAGACTTTCTGAACACCAATGTCATAGGCACTAAAATAAACAATTAATAAATGGGACCTTCATGAAACTGAAAAGCTTCAATACATCAACAAACTCTCAATCATTCAGACAAAACGGCAGCCCACAGAATGGGAAAAGATTTTTACCAACTGCACATTCAATAGAGGACTAATATCTAAAATATATGAAGAATGCAAAATTTGGGACACCAGAAAACAACCCAATTAAAAATGGGGTATAGATCTATATAAACAGAGAATTCCCAAGAGAGAAAATTCAAATGACTGACAAGCACTTAAATAACATTCTTTGTCATCAGGGAAATGTGAATCAAAACTACTTTGAGATTTCATCTTATACCCATCAGAATGGCCAAGACCAATAAAACAAATGACAGTCATGCTAGCAAGGATGTGGAATAAAGGGAACACTCATCCATTCCCAGTGGGAGTGCAAACCTGTACTTGGAAATCAGTGTGGTGGTTCCTCAGAAAGATGGGGATACATCTACCTCAAGACACAGTTATACCACTCTTAGGCATATACCAAAGGATACTTCATTCTACTACAGAAACTTACCCAACCATGTTCATTGCTGTTCTGTTTATAATAGCCAGAAATTGGAAAAATTCTATATTCACAGGTAAATGGAATTAGAAGAAAAATTATCCTGAGCGAGGTAACTCAGATCCAGAAAAACCAAAGTGTATATATTTGCTTATACATGGATGTTAGCATTTAAGGCAAAGATAAGCATGCTAAAATCCATATAATCACAGAGATTAGATAAAAAGTAAGGGATTAAGGGGGAGGGATGGATTTCCCTATGAAGGGCAAATAGAATAGATAGTTATGGATGAATTGGGGAGCACTGAAAGGGAGGATCAAAAAGGGAGGGGGAGAGAAGGAGGCAGAGAGGGAGGGAATACAAGGAGGGACAGTTAAAACTAAGGGCCACTTGAGGGGTCATTTGGAAATCTAATAGAGTAGAAGCTTCCTAAATATATATACATACATGAAAGCAATCTAAATGAAACCAGCAAATAACAGGGAGACAGAACCCCAGCTGGATATCTCTTATCATCAAATAAGTTTTTTAAGTAACAGGAATGAGTTACAGCTAATGAATTCTTGGCTAAAGATGTCCCATGGGAACCCCTAAACAACCCAGGCTATTGTCAAAGTGGCTCTCCACAAACTGACACTAAGGCCTATTACTGAAGATAACACCTAAACAAATCATTGTACATGAAGAAGTCAAGCTGGTGCCTACCTACCTAGAGCTCACAGGTCTTTTGTGTATATATTATGGCTTTCAGTATTGTGTTTTTTTATGGGATTCCTGAGTGTGAATGTGTGTGTCTCTCAACTATATGCACCTCATCTGTTTTTTTCTGCCCCTTTGACTCTTTTGCTTGTTTTGTTGTTTTGTCCTATTCCAATTTCTTTATTTTTGTTTTATCTTATTTTATTTTATTATATATTATTATTCCTTATATGCCTGTTTGTTTTCTAAGGAGAGATAGAATGGGTATGGATCCAGGTGGGAGGGGAAGTGGAGAGGAACTGGGAGGAATAGGGGAGGAGTTATGGTAATCACAATACATTGTGTGAAAAAAATCTATTGCAATAAAAAATAAATACATAAAAATAAAAATGGGGGAAAGAAAAATAAACTGTTGGTTTAATAAGAGCTGTATAACTTTCGTGCACTGTGTCACATTTGAGGAGAGAGGAGGGGAGGGGAGGGCAGGGGAGGGAAGGGGAGGACAGGGAAGGCTTCCTAGATAAGGGAAATCTTTGATAAATCCATCCCAACAGACTACCTCTGTAAGGCAAAGGGATCTTTAGAATGATGTAAACAACAGATTAAACCTTAGATCTTCAAAAAGAAATGAAGGCCAGGAGTTAGAAGGGTGGTTTAGCAGTTAAGAGCCCCTGCAGGCTCCTACTACCCACAACACGTGTCTTCCAATTGCCTGTCACTCCAGCTCCAAGAGATCCAGATCCATGGAAGTGCTTCTGGCTTCCATGGACACTACACTCTCACATGCATATCACACACAGAATTAAAAATAAAAACAAAAATTTTAAAAGTATACAATGAAAAGAAATGAAGGCTGGAAAGATGGCTCAGTGGATAAAGGCTCCTTTCACCATGGCTGACCACTTGAATTTGATTCCTAGAACCTAGAAGCTGTCATCTGACCTCCACATATACTCCATAATACTAATGCAGATGCATGCATACAACATACACACACACATACACATATTTTTAAATGTAAAAAGAAAACTTGAAATAGAAGTTGTGGACATAATATGAACATTGAGAGACAGACCACTGCTGTGTCTCTTAATGTCACTGAAATACATATGGCAGTTTAGAGTAAATATTTCAACTATATATGTTGAGATTAAAGTACATCAGGTGTAATTCATTTTAAAATACAGATAAACGATGGGAAGGGGGAGAAGCAGACAGATGTGGCCGCAATGCCTCTGTCTTGTACACTAAGTAATACAATACCAAGTGTAAGCTCACTGAAAGGGCAGTTGTGAGAGTAGGATGTCTACAGCAGCTATCTCATAAAGGTAATGAGGAACATAAAAGCAGTAAATATGTACTCTATCAATTCCAAGGCAGTTAGGGGACTAGAAGGAAGAACACAGAAGAACTATCAGGAGTTATATTAATGCTAATGCACAGCAAAGGAAACAGCCAGCACAAGAAGGCAGCTGTCCATGGAACAGGAGAAAATAGTTGCAAACTATAGTTACAACAAGGGCTTACAATCTAGAGTGTCACAGGTTCACACCTACAGAAAAAGAAATGCAACCAACTTGTCCTAAGGAAACCAACAGTCACATTTTCATGTGATTTAGAAGGGCAAACAAACATTAAGATTAATAAAAAAAAAAAAAAAAACTACCTGGAGAAAACCTGAACAGCAAAATTTCAGTCAGCATAAATGATTTATATGCAAATTAAAATATTAACATTATTCAAACTTTTGCATGACTTACATAAAGTACTAGAAAGAAAGTATTTCATTGATTTCTAAATTTAAAAAAAAAAAATCAGTGTTTTCAAATGAAACAGAGACAAAAAATGATTATTTTAAGGACTCATGCTCAGCCTTGAGCTTAGACAGTATAATGAGGAAATTACATCATTATCCTTAGTATGGCAATCAACAAAAGTCTTGATTTCTAGGCATGCTACTTTCTATCGTGCCTTAGAAGAACAGTATGTACTTTAGAAGAAGAAAAGGGGAGGGAAATATTTTGAATACAGTACTGAACAGAATTGGAGACAAGTATCAGCCATTGGAATGAAGTTAAGGCAGGGGCCTGTCTCAAAGTAAAGAACATAGTTTAAAAATAAAAAAGTGTTTTCATTTTCAGCTACACATACAGAGAAAAATCTTGAAAAGCATAATAGAAGTAGATAACTGAAAGTCTCCATAAATAAAAATATCAAACTTCAGTTAATTAATTTAGAACATAAATAATCAAATAAAATAGAGTTTACCTTTTCAGATTGACCATTGCCCAAGGAATCCCAGTAGGTGTGTTAAAGGCAGGAAGGAGTTTCTCAGCCAATTGCACTGCTTTAGTCTTGAATATCTGAGATAAAAAACATGGATAATCATAAATTGTAAGTAAATATTGCTTATTGCCCACCTCTGGCAGTATACACACCACAATGTACAAGTTAATGGAAGTTTTATGATAAAGGGCTGCATGTCGTTTTTACTGCAGAGTATACAGTAAATAGTGTAGATATCTGCAAAGTACATACTAAGGAAAGTTTTCCAGTATACAAAATCCTCAATCTACACATCATTGCAAAGGAAGAACATAGTTTTGGTGTTTATGTCATTTGTATGTTTACCTGGCTAAAAACAAAAAACAAAACAAAACAAAAAAAAAAATCTAAGAGAGGGCTAGGAAGATGGATCAGCAGCTGAAGACATTAGACATGAAAGAATCAAGACTAGTGTTCAAACCTCCAAAAACCCACAAAAATGCTGAGCAGGCATGGCAGTGTACCTTAGATCCAGAGAGTGAAGCTAAACAGGGAATCCCCCAGCAAGCTGTCTAACTAGACTAGCCATATCGAAGAGCTCTGGGTTTGACTGGGAAAGCCTGTGTCATTAAGGTGGAAGAGCAGTCCAGGATGACCCCCACCATCAACCCCAGGCCTTCACATGTACTTGCACACATGAACACACAAGAAAATTCAGGCTTCCATGTATACTCGCACATACTCGTGCATCCACACACATGTGCACACAGAAAAAGAAACAGAAAAAAAATCTAAGAGAAGACAATGAAGCTATGAATCTTCATCAACATACAAGCTTATTTCAAATATTTAACAACAACAACAAAAAGCTGTAATACAGTTTGGATAGATGCCCTTGAGTTGCTGTAAATATGTTTCTATTTGATTGAGGGTTTTTGGGGGAAGGGTTTAGTAAGTGTGTTTCTGGTTATATTATATTAGAAAGCAAATTTTAAAAAGTAAAATCTGAAAACAACATAACTGGCTATCTCAAAAACTTGAAGGCATCTAAAAAAGAAGAGCATACAATATAATATGGTCTCTATCTTTGCATTAAAACTCAGTGCCGGTACATTGTAAAACAGAAATATTTCACTTTATTTCTAATAATATTTTACCATCAAAATAATGTTTGTTTTGCTGAATGTTTGTGAATAGTTCATTATTTTTCTTCTTTACTTTATTAATTAACAAGGAAAATTATATTAACTGTTTTGATATTAAATCATCTTTGTTTTCTGAAGCATAAACTTATACATGAGACTTTTTTCCATATTCTTACTGGCTGAACTTTACTAATTTTTCTTCAGTTTTTTTACTTATATGCTCGCAGAGTTTATAAATCTGTAATGTTCTTTTTGTTTTGTTGTTTTGGCTTTGATATCAGTATCACTATAGCCTTAGAACAGGAGGAAGGGTTCCCTGTGGAGGGCACAGCACCTGAGTTTACAGGGGCTTAGTCAATCACTAACACCCACACAAGACTTTCTTCAGAGGGACATTGGCCAAGTTATGTAATCTGCCAAGGTGCCCATCAACAGATGAATGGATCAAAGATATGTGGTATATATACATAATGAAGTTTTATATACATATAAAAAGGAACAAAATTATGTCATTTGCAGGGAAATGGAGCTGGATCATCTTCATGTTAAGCAAACTAAGCCAGACCCAAGAATACAAATCCAGCCTGTTTTCCTTCACATGTGAACTCCAGATTCAAAACAAAGCCATGAAATTAGGACTATCTGAGAAAAGATGGGACTTTTACTGGGAAGGCGGGCAGGAAACTACTGGGAATGGGGGTAAAAAGGTATGAGGTAAGCACCAGTATGGTCACAGTATATCATACACATGTACAAAAAATGGCACAAGGAAAGCCATTTTGTACAATTAATAAACCATCATTACAAATGAAACAGGAAGAGAGGAAGAAGCAGCAAGCCCAACAGAAAGGTACGGGGTAAGCACCAAGATAGTCTGCTCCACCCAAACAAACACTTCAGTAAGGGCTCTGTAAGGACCTCGAGGGGCTAGCACCATTCCCCACCCTTTATAGCCTAAGGCAGAAAAACAGAACGTAAATAAATGGCTTTTGAACTATTCATCCAAAAAAAGACTGTGGGGCTGGAGAGATGGCCCAGTGGTTAAAAGCACTGCTTGTTCTTCCAAAGGTCCTGAGTTCAATTCCCAGCAACCACATGGTGGCTCACAACCATCTGTAATGAGATCTGGTACCCTCCTCTGGCCTGCAGGCAACATGCAAACAGAACACTGTACACATAATAAATAAATAAATCTTTAAAAAAAAAAAGACTATATTAGACCAAATTTTCCTGCCTTCTGTACCAGATAGGACTAGTCAATAAAACCATTTACCTTGGAATTAATTTTGTGAAAGTTTTTATTCTCATTACAAATACCTTATACAAGGTTATTCATGCTTTTTCATGAGTCAATTTTGATACATCTTTTTCAGAGAACTTTTCTATTTTACCTAAAATCTTTGTTTGCAAAACAGTGTTTGGCACATTCCATCATTATGTTTTTAATATCTTTGGGGGCTCTGTAAACACCAGGGCGACAGAGTAACAATCCACCTTAGGCAAGAAGGAATTCCATTTCAACAAGACTTTCTTAGATGGTGTTCATTCACACTTCTAGAGTTTGACCTCAGGCAGTTTACTGTAAGCATAATTAAGTGCAGTACAATTGGGAAAAAAGCTTCCTGGCGTAATTCAATCCCCTGTGCACAAGGAGGCATAATTCTCAAAAAAGCACTGTTGTGTCCAAATTCTGAACCCCCAAATCACCAAGAGGCCCATTTTGATGCAAAAGCAAGAGTCTTTTATTGTTGTTTAATGAGCTAACCCCATTAGCTTGGGCCCTTCATCCATCCACTGCGTGGATGGTTGGAGAAAGATCCCAAGAAACCACAAAACAGGCATCTTATACGATATCGTAAGGGGAAATGTCTAAGGATGCACAACAGTCTCAGGATTGGTTGCTTCCAGGATTGGATGACCTGCCCTGTGTTGATTGGTCAACCGGTTGTTATGGCCCATAGGCCCTCCCAGGGTGGTTGCTATGCTCTGCACATCACTGTTGTGCACTTGTCGGTAGAGCACACCCAGAGCCATAAAGGACAGCTCTGCCAGCTAACTTCTGATTGGTTCCTTGCCACGAAGAGGGCATCTGACCTCCTAGTGACCAGGGCAGGTCCAGCAAGGTCAGGTGAGCACATGTTAGCCTGTCATGGATGCTAAAACAGGAGGGGGATCTGGTCCCTTCAGTACATGTGGCTTCTTCCAAGAAAATGGATTCTAGAGATAGGCTACATGTATTATCTTAAGGGCCTGGGGAGGATCTAGTCATTTGGGCCATTAGTCACCTCTGGTCCTGGTTGTGAGAGCTTGGGGGATCCCCTGGCCATACAGATAATGCAAAGGTCACTTAGACTATTAATCACTTCTGATCCTATTTGTGACCTGGCCATACAGACAGGACAGATCCCCAAGTTATTGACCACCCCTACTCCCAGACTTCTTGGTGAAAAATAGATTATACTTCTCTTTATTGAATAACATTCGTGATTTCCCCAGTACTTTCTGTGAACCCAAGGTCTTTTGTGCTCCCAACAATGTCCAGGTGTCTATGATGATAGCCTAGCCCTGGAAATAACATTCATTCCAGAGTTTGGTAAGCTATCTTCTATTACTTCGCTCTTGATAATATTTAGCTTAAAGGCTTTATTCAATTTTGTTGATACGTTCCAAGAACCAACTTTATAACATTTTCAATTTCCCTTGCAATTCTTTATTTGATGTGTTTATTACTTCAAGACATTTTTTCAAAGCCTCAACCAAGGGTGAACTGGAACTCACTTTGCAGTTCAGTCTCCTTGAAGTACTGGGATTATAGTGAGCTGTGGTGATATATTGTTTATTATCTAATGAAGCTTGCCTGGAGTTCAGAATGCAAAGTTAGCCACAGACACCAGAGAGCTCTTACCTCTACCAAGGCTGGGGCAATTCTGTCCTCAATGTGGCTGGAGACTAATTCCTGAATCCTCAGTGTAGCTGGAGACTAATTTACAGGTCTGAGACCCTGTTCCTGCTTCATATAACTCTCTAGTGCTGGGATTAAAGACACGTACCACCACTGCCTAGCCTCTATGATGATGATAAGCATCCAACCCAGGGCATCAAACATGTCAAGCACATGCTCTACAGTTGAGCATGTGCTTGACATGTGCTATTCTTTCTGTTTTCCATTTATCACCTCCAGATTTTTGAGGGGTCCCTCTAGGCCTTCCTATCCGCCTTTTTTCTCTTTTACTTTTTTTTCTTAAATGATTTTCTAGAAATCTAATTATCTATACAGGCATACATCTCTCCATTACTTTTAAATTTTCTTAGTATAAAATCCTTAACTTTTCAGACTGCCAGGTATACTGTACAAGTCCCTATAAAATGTAAGTAAAAGCTTCCAACTATGTAGGTCAATCACTCTGTCTTATTTCATAGTTGATACATATGTTACAATTGAATACTGTAATAGAACATTCGGGGTTGGCTTTTTGTTTTGTTTTAAATAAATACATCATTTTAAAGGTAGTAGATGAAAAATAATCTGCACAGTTTCAATTATTTATAGTTTTCCACAGTATCATTTTTTCCCTCAGTGCTTTCAAACTTTTCTTTTTATTTTTGGTGGCTAGCTGCATGACTAAGTGTACTTAGTCATGATGCCCTAGTTAGATTTTCTGTCAACTTGACACAAGTCAGGGTCATTTGAGAATTGGGAACCTTAAGAAAATATCTCCATCAGATTAGCCTATAAGCAAGACTACTGTGGGTGGTCCTGGGGTTTACAAGAAAGGTAGCTGAGCAAACCAGGAAGCAAGCAGTATTCCTCCATGGCCTCTGCTTCAGGTTCTTGGCCTGACTTCCCTTCATGATACACAACTGTGAGCTGAAATAAACCCTTTCCTCCCCAAGTTGCTTTGGTCATGGTGCTTCATCACAGTAATAGAAACCCTAACTAAGATACATGCTAA